GGTTCCTTTCCGCAGATCAGTTCACATTTTTTCCAAAGTTTCTTAGATTCTCCCATTTAGCTATTTTTCGCTTTCCCAAGGTATGAAGGCGGCCTTATAGTGAAGGCTGGTGTTATCCGCCCGAGGTGAATAAAATTTGTTGGCTGCTGAGCGAAGGACAGTCCCTTTCACCAAGTGTTTTCGATGATAGCAAGCTCTCCACTCCCGCTTTTTTCTCCTCGTCACTCGTTATTGTGCGAAGCTGACTTATTCAATAATTGCTGAAAATTGTATGTAAAATCGAGTTAGTAGTTAATGTGCCGTTCCGAGGTGTAAAGGTGGAACTTTTATGGGCCTGAGCATGATTCAAGGTTTAAATTTACGCTCTAATCCACCAAGCGCCCCATCTTCTCTAGCGGTTCCGACGTACTGACAGGAACCTCGAAGACAACTTCCACCAACGCGTAAAACGAACTCACCTGGAGTGCCACCTTTTGAGCGGATGAACCCGCTGCAACACCAGCGCTAGCAAGAAGCGAGCAATACATTCCAATGCAGTAACGCATATCACTTTCTATGTCTCGTGATAAGATACTGATGATAGTAACGAGGCCCCCGTAGTGATGTACTACTCTACAGCTCGCAGTGCGTTGAAAAAAGTTCCACCTATCAACCATGGATTGCACATCAACTATTAGGTTGTTGCATAAGTTCTTATACACGACTTTTTTGTAAATATCTCAAAAGCGAACCAGCCTGGAGATTAGAGGTATGCACCATCACCATTCACTACTCGACGCCAGCGCTCAGGCAGCTTGTCGATTCCATCCTTCCAGAACGACGGAGGCTGGGACTTGAAGAAGTCGTCGAGCGCCTTTGTTTCGAACTTTTTTCCGTCCAGATAGCGCTGCAGGTGGCTGAACAGCCAGTAGTCAGAAGGAGCGAGGTCAGGGCTGTAGGGAGGGTGGGCGACCATCAGCCATCCGTACTTCTCCAGCTCGGCCTGGGTCGCCTTTGCAGTGTGAGGTCGGGCGTTGTCATGGTGGAAGTAGATTTCCGCATTCCTTCCACGAGTACGGTCGACGTGATCTTTCAATTTCCGCAGCTGGGTCACGTATGTGGAAGCGTCAATCGTCTGTCCCTTCTCCAGCAGCTCCCAGTACTCCATGCCTCTTCTGGACCACCAACAGGACAGGAGAACCTTTTTGGGGTGAAGGTCGGCCTTTGGGGTGGCTTCTGGCTGTTCTCCTTTGTCGACCCACAGGGTTATCGTAGAGGACCCACTTCTCATCTCCAGTGATCATCGAGTTGAGAAAGTGAAGCTTCTTTTGTGAATCGTTAAGCAAAACCAGGCAGTGGCGCAGGTACATTCTGTCACAGTGGTAATTGTGCGACATTGTGTACTGCAAATGCAAGCTCGGTGAGTGATAGCTAGTGTAATGAAAGAGTATAATGTACACGTCACGCACACGTGATGACGTAATACCAACATCCATGCGAACGAAATAGGAGAGGATCAAACACGTGTATAAGAACTTATGCAACAACCTAATACTAAAACAATATACACCATGGATTGCACATCAGCTACTAAAACAATATACAACTGAAGATGCCGAGGTTACAAGAAGAGAGAAGTTGGAGAATATATGGAAAATCCTGACAATAATGTGCTTACAGCTTAACACACGTGCTCAATTTTGCTTTCTTTACAAAATATTTTTTACATTCCGAATCCTTTGCAGATATCACAAGAATGCTGAGTTGTGGGCAAAAGTCGTGCCCCAGGCGGGAGTCGAACCCGCACCTCACGCTTTCCGGGCGAGTGCGCTATCCGTTACGCCACCAGGGCCGCTTTTACCCTCTCAGCTTAACGGCTTATGCCGTAGCCTTACAGCACTCACACGTTTAACTTGGTGAGCCGGTCAGCCGTAATCGTTAGATATCGGCATGGAAGCGCAAGGCCAAAGTGGCCAAGTTTCACGATTACGGCTGACCGGCTCACCAAGTTAAACGTGTGAGTGCTGTAAGGCTACGGCATAAAAGCCGTTAAGCTGAGAGGGTAAAAGCGGCCCTGGTGGCGTAACGGATAGCGCACTCGCCCGGAAAGCGTGAGGTGCGGGTTCGACTCCCGCCTGGGGCACGACTTTTGCCCACAACTCAGCATTCTTGTGATAACATTCGGAACGCGTACTGCGGCGTTAAACAGCAGTTATCATAACAAAACCTTTGCAGGTAATCTTTCCTAATCTGACGATTGCTCTTAGTACAGCTTTATCGAACAGTGTAAATAACTTACAGCCCGCACGCGGCTTTACTGGTAGCGAATAGATCTATGTTTTGGCGATGTTAGTAGAATAGGTTGTATGGAAAACGGAAACTGCTCTCTTACTACTCTCTAAAACTCCGGGAAGGTAAGGACAAAATGCACAGGCGTTAAGGTCTGACCACAGAGGCTTGTATATCGTTGAGCTTCCCCGAAACTCGCAAGCATCAATTTTGTGTGAATACTGACTTCCCTGCTGCAACCATTGCCCAATACGAAAAATTGAGGATGGTAAAGAGGGTGAGTGTTTGGATACCTCTTTTTCTTGCGAAAGCACGAACGCAGAACTGATTCGATGCAACAATATTCTCCACATCAGAAGTCATTCACAGCTGTAAAAATGCACCGTGACCCTATATGAAGATGGGTGATCTTGTACTGGGACCCGAAACTCGCAAGCATCAATTTTGTATGAATGCAGATGAGAAGCAGCCCGAGTTCTGTCATCAGAGTTACGAGGCCCAAGCGGATAATCAGCATGGCAATAGATTCCTGCCCTGTGGCTTTCTAACGGCTGTATACAGAGAACAAACCGTCGCTGTCGGTGTATATTGCCTGCTCCTCGACAATCAGATCGACAAATGGATGGCACCACACAACTACAGGAAGGCCGCCATTACTCGTCACAGTCACTCGTCACGTCACGCGTAACCGCATTATTGGACAGTGCTCGGACACAAATAGTACTGAGAGCTCGGTCCAATCGCCTTGTTCGCCCTACCTACGGCGGTGCAATTTCTACAGTTCTAGTCACTCGAAGGTGTTATCGGCAAACGCTACATCGATTGGCGATCGTCGAAAACAGCATCAGCAGCACTTTGCTCGTACTTGTTGGAGAAAGCGAAGGTGTTAGGTTTTTGAGCGCTTCCTGGACCCTGGGAGCGAGTCATTGATGAACGTAGCGCACGACATAAAACTAAAATATTACATTTTCGTCTCTTTTGTTCTTAGTTTTGTTTGAAAAAACCTTCCATGGTTTTAAATGGAATGACCTATCAGTTATTTGATGAAAGAAACCTTGGAGTCTTTGCCATGTGGTCTCCTCCGTCGTTTTAATTCCTTTTTCCATTTTCTCCACAACTTCAACATTTTAATTTTGTTTCAGATACTAATGGGGATCACACTCACAAAGCAACCACAGGTCAAATTGAATTACTGATAGATCGCTGAATTACTGATAGTTTGCCCTTTTACAAGACTTGTGGACTCTCTGTGCCCGCCTCAGATAACAAGAACTTTATTATGTCGATAAAATATTCGACAGACTATTGATTGATGCAGAAAGAATGGTGAAAAATGCACTTAGCACAGCTGCCCAAAACAACATTAGTATTTGGCAGCGCAAGGCTGTCAATACAATGGCTCACCCATTTTTATACCACGATTCCAATATTCCCTCTATTTTAACAGTATCTTGAACTGTATGTCAGTTGACCAAGGGATTTTCAAGTTTAATTTGTCAGTTCATATTCCTTATAATAAGTTTTGTAGGAGGAGCCAGAGTCGGAATCGCTCATACCATCACCTTCACGAATCGGTCACTCCTCCAGTTTGAATCGCCGTGGAATTCAGGTAGTTGTTTCCTGCCTTCATCTGGTTTATCAGACATGGAGCTTCTTCAGGTGATTTATCGGGTTGTCCCATAATTCTTGCTCGAATATGTTCAAGTCCAAACTTTTCTGTTCAAATCGAGTTACTCGAACGCGTGTGACATGTTGTAGAGTAGTGTAGGGCTTAAGCGCGAATTTCCGGAAATAGAACCTCTTTGGAGACCAACCAGGTTAAAGTTCAAAGAATTCAACACCTCGCCCCTTGGCCTGAATCATGGTCTACGAATACGATTTTGAGACCAGTGCAAAGGGGACTATCGAAAAACTCAGTGCTGGTATTAGGGCCAGGTACTGCTATTGGGATAGCAAGGCAATACCTCACCTATCACATCAAAGGCGGTCCGAGCTGGGGAAATCAGGCTCATACTGTTTTTATCAATACGGGGTTATTTGACATCCCTTTCACGAACGAATTCTTTTGTCGCTGGCGCCTTTTCGCAACGAAGGGCACCGATTAGGGGCAGCTACCTTCTTTACCAAAATCGATGAAAACCTGCATAATAGAGTTGACTGATACCCTGATCACAAAAATGACATTCCTTCTTGACACCAGCGCCATTTAGCGCTCTGCTGAGACTGGGGCTAGAAGGAGTGGTTCTCGTTCCGTTAACATCTGCCTTAGCGAAGCACATATGATCAGTGTGACCTGCATTAGCATTGCCGCCAACAACGAATGTGCTGTCGTAATCAGAATGTCGGATAACCCACGTTCGCAAAATTTTCATCGATTTTCGTAAAAAAGGTGCTGGCGCCAGCGTTAAAAACATGCGTGATATTCCTGATCAGGATGTCAGATAATCCTCGTATATAAATTTTCATTGGTCAAATAGGTGATGGCGCCAAATGGGCGCGTACCGGCGCCAAATTTCTTGATGCCAAAACTTATGTCATATTCGTGATCAGGGCACTGAATACCCTCTGTAGGCAAAGTTTCAGCATAAATATTTTTTTTGAGTTTTTGGAGTAGTAACAGCAGTGATAGTACGCCAGAGAACCAGTCACAGTCGAAAATCGGGCAAGAGTTATGGGGTGTCCTAATATTATTTGGACTTGGTGAGTAACATTCTTACAAAGGTTTTGTTAAGATGGAACGTCGCAATAGGGAGATTTCACTGGATGATGTTGAGATAGAGGAACCGGCGCTTGTTCATGTTGAAACAGGTGGAGGTATTCGATTTTCTATTGTTTTAGTCTGATAAACCCGGAGGGGGGGGTGAACAGGGTCGCACGCCCACATTTGGGCAGACACGCCCTGCCGTTGGGAAGCATTTTTGTAAAATACGACCCCTACTCCTTCAATAGGTTGTCTTCTGGTACAATCCCTCCTTCCTCATACCACATCCTACATACCATCTTCCACATCTCTTTCGACGGAGTCTGGGGACGTCGAAAGGGAAGGGGTAAATGTCACGCTTGAGAGGCAAGTGCAGCCCCTACCTTCCTCCATCGACCTCCCCCTGAGGGGATATTCAAAGTATAACGTGCCCTGTTTGTAGGTACATGCTTCTCGTATTGTGCTTCTTTTTCTGCACTCCTTACGCCAACTTATTTTGAACTTGTAATATTGACACCTTTTTAGGTGGTTATGCATCTTTCAACTCTGCGGGTCACTCACAGGACCGCGAAGATGAAGAATCCGCGATAGACAACGCCCCTCCCTTATTCAGGTGGGTATGATCAGCTGAACATTTCATCTCTTGCAAGGAATTTGTTCAAACTCCCTACGCATTTTTGATTAGAAAACTAGGTACATCGATAGTCTCGAAAGCTGATTGTAAATATTCACATTGAAAGTGCTACAGGGATATCCTAAAGAAGTTCTGGCTGTTCAGAGTTTGCAGTAGATGTAGTCGGAAACGCTAGAGTGGGGAAGGCGCTTGGTCGGGTAGGTAACAAATTGAAAGCTTCGAGCCATTTTCAGGCCTCTGAAGAAGACGAGAAGGTCGAAACGATAGGCCAATGAAACGTTCTTGTTTGGCTGAAATAGCAACATCATACCGAGGTTACAACATTGGACAACGTGGAGATTATTGACCTTTACACTGACGGCCTTTCCCTTCCCGCGATTCGCTGTATAGGGTAATTTACATTCACAAGTCACTAGCAGTCCAAATGGAAGTGGAGTGCGTATAGCTCTCAGAAAGTGATTCATCGATTGTGGAAATTTCATTCCCCGAGCTTTTCGATGCAGCAATGCTTCGCAACGCTCTTCCAACTCGCACAATGCTGGGATGTTCGGCGACATGGTCGATTGTCATGTGTTAGTCCCAACTGGTCCATCGACAGGAGTATCAGATCTGTCTCCGTGTTCGTTTCCTCCTTCTGCTTTTTTTACAACTTTCCAGAGTCAGTGTTCTTCTCAGAGCATTAGAAGCTTCGAAAACGGATCCAGTATCTAAGTGGTAGCGGCGAATCAGCCAACTCGATCTTTCGGAATAGTTTTTTATACGTGCCTTGTTTGAGTTAACAAAGTTTTCATGTGTAGTTCAAAAATTATAGGCCAAACCTACTAAAAAGCGCGACTAGAGCTTGTTTCAAGTTTTTTTTCGTTAGGTCTTAATTTGAACTTTCATGGGGAGTTGAAATCTTCACCTTTTTAGTATGTGCTTTCGGCTCGCAATTAAATGCATTCTATTTTCCAGCAAATACGGTGACTTTCATACAATAGATTGGCAACGGGATCTTGCAAGAGATCGGCTACGGCATAAGTTGATTGTCGGGAAAAGGTTAGTGAAAATTTTTTCCTGAATTGTTTTTCATTCTTCTAGAAATTGCAGGATTTTTTTCACGTAGAATTGCGTTTACAGCTGGATAATTTATTTTCAGAGTGGATTTTCCATGGGGTATCCTGCAAAGTGCTTGGGATGCTGGAGCAGGATGGATATGCGTTTTGATGGTAATGTCACACCGTTGTCGAATTCGTTTCTGAAGGCGGTGACACCTTGTCCAATTTCTTTTCCCATTGGAGTTTTATCCCTGTTCAGGTAGGCCTTGCCGCTGGAGCGTCAGCCGGTGTAATCGATATCGGCGCTCGATGGATGAGTGATCTGAAGGTTTGGGAAATTTTTATTCATATTATTCGGCACTTTTCACTATTACTACCACAATCTTCCAAAACCAGACCACTTTTCCACCGCCTTTTTTTCTACGAAGGCAAAAATCCTTTTTCTTCCTTCTGCGAGGGCGAAGTGGCTGAAAATTTATTCCCACTGCTGGTTCTACGCCTATACACGAGTACCCTATCCGCTTGATCCAAAACTGCCTGTCGCCCGCGTCGAAATGCCCTGAACCTCCAAATTCGCTGAAAACTTGTCCCCAGGGATATTTTGACACGCCAGCACGACCACCACATCTGGATGTTGGGCCAGTGGATTTGAGGGTAGAGGAAAGGGGCAGAGAAGCTTGTTGCCCTCGCCTGCACCTTTCCCTCGAGATAGTGGTCCCTTCCTCTGCTGATACTGAGCTTGGCAGAGAGGGGTGTCATTGCACGTATCCGGAAAGGGTACTGTCTCGTCTGACCATGTTTTTCAAACTGCCCTTGCACATCGCTAGGCGCGAAACAGGACGCGGTTCGGCGATGGGGGCATTTTGCTTGTTCGTTGCTTCACTAGTTCCGGTTTACTCTGGTGAAACCTGTGAACAAACATAGAAAAAAGGATTCTTTCCATAATAATTTAGCATCTCCGGCCATGCTGTCCAGGCGCTACAATCAGAGTCCTGGAAAAACATTAGTTTGTTTTCCAAAACTTCCACTGGAAAAAATGGGAAATAAAAAAACTGACCTTATACACAGTATCATTTGAAGACCAGCAGCAGTGTTCTCGATCTAACCAGAACCGATCCGCGCAAACACCATCCTAATATATTCATTTGACATCGGCAAAGCACACACGGATACAGAATAACGGCACTATCCGACTAATGGGACTCAAATACTCAATTTTTTTTTGCTGAAACTTTGCCCATAAGGGTAAGCCAACGCCTTAACCACGAATACTCCATGTTTTTGGCGCTGGCGCCATTCGGGCGTTACCAGTTTTCCTCATATATTAGGTTGTTGCATAAGTTCTTATACACGTGTTTGATCCTCTCCTATTTCGTTCGCATGGATGTTGGTATTACGTCATCACGTGTGCGTGACGTGTACATTATACTCTTTCATTACACTAGCTATCACTCACCGAGCTTGCATTTGCAGTACACAATGTCGCACAATTGCATTGTGACAAAACGTACCTGCGCCACTGCCTGGTTTTCTTAACTTCACAAAGAGGCTTCGCGTTTCTCAACTCGATGATCACTGGAGATGAGAAGTGGGTCCTCTACGATAACCCTGTGAGGGAGCAGGAGTGGGTCGACAAAGGAGAACAGCCAGAAGCCACCTCAAAGGCCGACCTTCACACCAAAATGGTTCCCCTGTTCTGTTGGAGGTCAGA